CTAGCCAACGGGTCGCCAGATACACGGAGGGTGTATTTCGTCGGCTGTCCATTTTGGCGAGGTGAGGTCAAGTGAATGACCACACTGGGATCCTGTATGCGTGTTTCGGAGACACAGCATACATCAATGGTACGAGATTCTAGGGTTTTAGCTAAGGAGGCCTGTTGACCGATTTGGCATAGGGTACGTACGTTGAAGGCTCCAATGTGTAGTTTGGAGCGAGGTTTAAGTAGACCTGGGACAGCGTTTCGCGCACTAGAATCGTTGGCCATGGTGACACTTGAGGAGGAAACCGAGAGAGGAAGTTTAGTGTTGAAAGTCAAGGTAGAGGGAATAGTAGGAATTGAAGAAGAAGATTGATTATGAATACAGTGGTCTTGAGTGCTGTTAGAGGTATGAGGGCAGTTATCACTTCCCGGTTGCCCACACCGTGGAAGGATTCTTCTAGAGGTACCTGAAAAGGAAATTGGGTTAGGAGTGGTCTTAATGACCTGAGAGCGTGACCGCAGTGCCCAAGGGACAACTGCTTGAGGTCGGTCACACACGACCTTTTTGTGGGTAGTTTTTGTGTTAGCTCCGTTCTTCAAAAAAAAACCTTACCGCCGGAGACGGAAATCCGTGGGATAAGGCGAGGTGTGCATTTTTAGGGTCGACCTTTTCTAACCCCACCCCTCCTTGTGGGAAGGCAGCATCGCTGTCATGCTGGTTGTCTGAAGGAAACACCTTACTGCCGTCACACCTCTGTACAGTCAGCAGTACGACTTCGCCTTCGGACCTTGGGTTTGCTGCTTTTAGTTTCACCGCTCTTCAACCGACCTGTCTGGCATGGTAGGACCTCGAGGAACGACTGTTCCAGCCAGCATAGCTCGATTGCTTCATCACGATAGGCAAGCCCGACCACCACGTCAAGGTAGCAGCAACGATCGGGCACAAACTGGACAACAAAGGCTAGGTACAGGAGAGATGCTGCTGTACTCCGGTCACGAAGGGGAAAATGTTTCACACACTCAGGGAGTTGCTCTAATACTGTCCAAAGAAGCACGAAATGCACTTGTGGGATGGGAATCTCATGGACCCAGGATAATGAAAGCATCATTCAGAACAAAGAAGCAAGGGATCAAAATGAACATTATCCAATGTTATGCACCCACTAATGATAGCAACGACGATGATAAAGATCAGTTCTATGAAAGGCTGCAATCAATTATAGCAAAGTGCTCACGAAAGGACCTCACCATCCTTATGGGAGATCTAAATGCTAAAGTTGGGGTGGACAACACAGGATATGAAGATGTAATTGGACGACATGGATTAGGAGAGAGAAATGAAAATGGGGAGAGACTTGCAAACCTATGTGCATTCAACAAATTGGTTATAGGCGGCACAATATTCCCACACAAACGTATACACAAAGCTACATGGATCTCACCGGACCACACCACAGAGAACCAGATTGATCACATCTGTATCAACAAAAAATTCCGAAGATCAATGGAAGATGTGAGAGCCCGGAGAGGAGCTGACATAGCTTCAGATCACCCCCTGGTTGTGGCCAAGATGAGACTGAAGCTAAAGAAAGACTGGACAACTGGACAAACAGCACAACAAAGGTTCAATACAGCCTTCCTTCGAGATACTGACAAGCTCCATGAATTCAAGATAACTCTCAACAACAGGTTCCAAGCTCTACAGGATCTACTGAAAGAACAAGAAACTACTTTGGAGGACAACTGGAAAGGGATAAAAGAAGCACTAACTTCAACGTGTCAGCAGGTTCTTGGTCCTAAGAAGCATCATCACAAGGAATGGATCTCTATGGGAACCCTGGACAAAATTCAAGAAAGGAAGAACAAGAAACTAGCAATTAACAACAGCCGAACACGAGCAGAGAAAGTCAAAGCACAAGCAGACTACGCAGAAGCAAACAAGGAAGTGAAGAAAAGCATTAAAGCCGACAAGCAGAAATATATGGGAGAACTAGCAACGGCGGCGGAAAAAGCTGCAAGAGAAGGGAATATGAAACAACTATATGACACAACGAAGAAATTGGCAGGGAGATATAGCAAACCAGAGAGACCAGTCAAAGACAAAGAAGGAAAGACAATCACTGAGATTCAAGAACAGAGGAAAAGATGGGCAGAATACTTCGAGGAACTGCTGAATAGACCAGCCCCATTGAATCCACCGAACATCGAAGCAGCCCACACTGACCTTCCAATAGATATCACTCCACCAACGATCGAAGAAGTCAAGATGGCCATCAGATAAATCAAAAGTGGGAAGGCGGCAGGACCTGACAATATACCAGCAGAAGCACTGAAGTCAGACATTGAAATAACTGCAAACATGCTTCACCTTCTCATTCAAGAAGATTTGGGAAGAGGAACAAGTGCCAACGGACTAGAAAGAAGGTATCTCATCAAGGTACCAAAGAAAGGAGATCTGAGCCAATGTGAGAACTACAGAGGCATCAGTTTGTTATCAGTACCAGGAAGAGTTTTCAACAGAGAGCTGCTGAATCGGATGAAAGACGCAGTAGACGCTGAACTTAGGGATCATCAGGCTGGATTCCGTAAGGATCGGTCGTGCACAGACCAGATTGCGACACTACGGATCATCGTTGAACAATCAGTTGAGTGGAACTCATCACTATACGTCAACTTCATTGACTATGAGAAGGCGTTTGACAGCGTGGACAGGAGAACATTATGGAAACTTCTTCGACACTATGGAGTTCCTGAAAAGATTGTCAACATTATCCAAAACTCATACGATGGACTACAGTGCAAAGTGGTGCATGGAGGACAGCTGACAGATGCATTTCCAGTAAGGACCGGAGTCAGACAAGGCTGTCTACTCTCCCCATTCCTCTTCCTTCTAGTGATTGACTGGATTATGAAGAATTCGACATCTGAAGGGAAATACGGAATACAATGGACTTCTCAGAATCAATTAGATGATTTGGACTTTTCAGATGACCTAACCCTCCTCTCTCATACACACGACCAAATGCAGATGAAGACAGCAAATGTAGCAGCAGCCTCTGCATCGATAGGCCTCACATTCACAAAGGAAAAAGCAAGATTCTCAAATGCAACACGGAGAACACCAACGCAATCACACTTGATGGCGAAACTCTGGAAGAGGTGGAAACATTCAAGTACCTGGGGAGCATCGTTGATAAACAAGGGGGATCGGATGCAGATGTAAAGGCGAGGATTGGCAAAACAATTACGGCATTTCTACAATTGGAGAACATATGGAACTCAAAACAACTCTCAACCAATCTCAAGGTCAGAATCTTTAATACGAACGTCAAGACAGTCAGTTCTACTGTATGGAGCTGAAAAGTGGAGAACTACTACAACCATCATCAAAAGCGTACAAGTATTTATACATAGTTATCTACGCAAGATACTCAACATTTATTGATCGGATACCATCAGCAACAGCCTTCTGTGAGAGGGGACAAACCAGCTTCTATTTGAAGATGAAATTAGGAAAAGACGTTAGAAGTGAATAGGACATACATTGAGGAAATCACCAATGTGCATCACGACTCAATCCCTAACTTGGAATCCGGAAGGGAAGCGGAAAAGAGGAAGGCCAAAGAACACACTACGCCGGGAAATAGAAGCCGATATGAAAAGGATGAATAGCAACTGGAAAGAACTGGAAAGGAAGGCTCAGGACAGAGTTGGATGGAGAATGCTGGTGAGCGGCCTATGCTCCTCCACAAGGGGTAACAGGCGTAAGTAAGTAAAGATACTGAAAGATAATTCAATACCTTTAGTGGTTAACTGCCTCATAACTGACATGGTTCACACACTAGAACTTCAGTACATACCTCTCAAATGTCAGTCAGTCAGTTACAACGTAGAACTTCGTACGTACGTACATCAGTTCCAGTTGCCATACCACATTAGCACAGAGATGCAGTTGTCGATTCAAATCCCATAGTGGTAGAAGTAGTAGGAGTATAATCAGAAATCCAAAAGATTAGGGTTTGAAGAAATTATTGAAGGAGTATAGTACAGTGAAATAAATTTGGAAAGAGAAAAAGATAAAGACATGAATAATTTAGAAGATTAGAATTTGGTAGAACACAAAGAGTGGATGCACCTTCGCCACTGCAAACAATTTTGAGCCATGTCATTCAAGGTCTCTAACCATCGATTGCTATCATCTCGCGAATCCCAACCAGGTAATCTACACCTACCAGCATGGCTCAGTCCACTTGTCAGTGACTTCATGGATTTGTGCCACGTTTTGGTCTGGCCACTCCTAGCTTTCTTCCAACGTACTCCTACACCATTAAACATTGCACGTCGGGGCAGTCAGTGGTCGGGCATACGTAACACATGTCCCAGCCATCTCAACTGATCAAGTTTCACTACTTCATCAATCGATTTGACATCCTTACCTAGTACCCGTTTCCTAACATCTGTATTACTTACCCGGTGGTCCCAGGATATACGAGCAATGTGTCGAAGACACCTATGATCGAACACTAGTAGCCTACGAATATCCTCTACTCTTATTGGCCATGTTTCACTGCCATAAAGTAGGACGGAGCGAACTGCTGCACAGTAAACCCGTCCTTTGGTTGCTAGATGGATATCTCGCCTACGCCATAAATGACGCAAGTTGGCGAAAGCTAGACGAGCCTTCTGTATCCGTGCTGAGATTTCGTCACATACCAGACCACAAGGGCTGATGAGACTCCCAAGATAAGTGAAGCTGTCAACACGCTCAACTACTTCACTCCCTATCATTAGTTCAGGTGTCGCTGCAACCCAATCCTGAAGTAACATTTTGCACTTCGAGGGAGAGAATCGCATCCCGAACATGCCTGCATAGTTACTTATAGTGGTCAGAAGACTTCACCGAGTAAAACTATGTCGTCGGCGTATTCTAAGTCATACCCTTAACTGCACACGAGACCTCTCAAATGTAATCACTAGTAAGCAGAAAATAGAATAAAACAAAATAAAACTCACAATTTCTGGAGACACATTACGATAATTAGGTTTTTTTGAATTTGATATTTTACGACTAGACTTATTCCTAGTTGAGGAATTTTCAGTGATGAAGACGTCAGTAGCAGCAGCAGCAGTGGTAGTAGTGGCAGTGGAAGAACTACTAGGAATATTATCATCAAAAGGATTTGATGATGACTTCTTTACTCGTTGTTGTAATGATTTGGAATGGGTATCAACATCATTGTGAGATAGCTGAGCTTTACTTGGATTTTTATGATGATTTAATGGATTTGAAGCAGTTAACTATACACAAAGATATAAATATGTGTAAATGTATAAGTGTAAATTTTAAAGAAAAGAAAAAACAATAGTCAATGAGAAACTGACTATTGACAAGTTTATTAGGGTATGTTGTATTTGACATCTGTACACTTGTCATTTAACCAATATAACGATTATTTAACATATAAAATGGGAAATAAATATTCTATACTAATGATAAAACAATACCTCCAAATGCCCTGGTACAACCGATGGTGAGAAAAATTCACTCTCCTTCTTGAAATTTCATAAAGCTAAGCATTTATAGCCTCTTTGATAGATGTTATACTTATTGACTTCACATGGTAGGAGTCATAGAATGCTGAAACTAAGTTTGCGTATATGGAGAATTTATCTAAGCGAGTTAGAAAAACTTAACTACAAATAAATGACGTACATGATGTTGTGAGGTGTGGTGTCCGTGATCTGACACTGATACATGGTGTGATACGTGATATATATACCATTCTATCCTTAGGAAATCGAGCTATTGACGCCGCTGAAATGCACTTAGCCTTTAGGTCACTTATGACTGCCGATGATCGACCTTGTGCTACTTCTGATTGGCTATCCACATCACATGGGCTTCAGGACTCTGAAGGAATGAATGAAGTATAAATCTATTCTGATCACTAACTATTAGTGCAAGAATGAAATTTTTGGTGCTACTACTCCATCAGTACCTTGTGGATTAGACATTGAGGTCAAAAACTAGGGGGACTTCCTTAAGAAAATAACTTTCCCTGTTTTAAGTAACTGGATAATATGACAACTAACATACACAAACGACAGTGATTTGAAAAATAAGGAACGAATAACCGAAGAGGATTGTTTCATTATTTTTGACTCAGTTTTCAATTCCTTCTATAAGATATTTAGAACTAATATACCCGGTTTTAATTTGTAATGACGCTAACAGCTCTGAGAGCGACACATTTATAAAACAACAGAATAACATCTGGAAATTTAAATATATGTATCTTGAAAAGTCGCGGTTCGTTGATTTTTACAATCAACATACACGAATACATCATTAGATTTAGTCAGTCAAGTAAGCAGAATACCATGAGCAGCCACAGGATACTTGCGACTCTCTTTGAAACCCACAAATAGATACATTGTGATGACTTTGCACCTAGATATGTCATATTGTTGGAAGTGAATTTACGTTACACATCCTCCACTGGTTGATGCATTAAGATAGACGTCGAAAACAACACTTACTTACGCCGCACACCAGCACCCTCCATCCAACAATGACCCGGGCAATCCTTTCCAGTTGTTATTCATCCTTTTCAGATCTGCTTCTGTTTCCCGACGTAATGTGTTCTCTGGTCTTCCTCTTTTCTGCTTCCCTTCACGATTCCAAGTCAGGGCTTGCCTCGTGATACAATTTGATGATTTCCTCAATGTATGTCCTATTCACTTCTAACGTCTTTTCCTAATTTCATCTTCAAATAGAAGCTGGTTTGTCCCCTCTCACAGAAGGCTGTTGCTGATGGTATCCGATCAATAAATGTTGAGTATCTTGCGTAGATAACTATGTATAAATACTTGTACGCTTTTGATGATGGTTGTAGTAGTTCTCCACTTTTCAGCTCCATACAGTAGAACTGACTGTCTTGACGTTCGTATTGAAGATTGTGACTCTGATATTGATTGACAGTTATTTTGGGTTCCATATGTTCTTCAATTGTAGAAATGCTGTAATTGTTTTGCCAATCCTCGCCTTTACGTCTGCATCCGATCCTCATTGTTCGTTGATGATGCTTCTCAGGTACTTGAACGTTTCCACATCTTCCAGAGTTTCTCCATCAAGTGTGATTGCGTTGGTGTTCTCCGTATTGTATTTGAGGATCTCGCTTTTTCCTTTGTGTATGTTGAGACTTACTGGTGCAGAGGCTACTGCTACACTAGTTGCCTTCATCTACATTTGTTCGCGTGTATGGGATAGGAGGGTTAGGTCATCTGAGAAGTCCAAATTGTCTAATTGATTCTGAGATGTCCATTGTATTCCGTGCTTCCCCTCAGATGTCGAGATCTTCATACTATTTTCAAGTGGATAACAAAAGAATAAGTGAACATCACTGTTAAGAAAAGTGATACGGTGGACGAATCAAACATCCATCAAATGTTAAGCGCTTGAAAATGACCAAAATATGGCTTTCTTTTTTAAGGAAGAAGACATACTTCATTAGTGGAAAAATGTGGTTTGAAATTCTAAGAGATACACATAGAAGTATACAGTTAATTCTCCATTTGCTTGGTCAATGAATGCTTCTTTTTCACTCTTAGCTCTCATATTTGTGAAACGGGTCGGGTTCATGTTTAAGAACCCTGGGCATGTGTTAGAATCGGACACCTCACGACACTTCTCTGACGAGGATGGGGATTGAACCAAAGCGGAGACACCCTTAATGAAGTGGCTGAAAAACGCAACTCAGCAGCATTATATATAGAACCCTGACTAGAGGGCCATGATGGATTAAAAGATTGAACTCTTAAACATCTTACATTCCATGAATATCATGTCATAAACTAAAAGACACTCCACTTTCCCACTCAGCTTCAGCTCCAACAAGTAGTCTGAAGTGTAAGAATCACTGAAACATAATTCATAAGACATGTGCAATTTATCTGAGCCGGTGTTCAAGGATGGTGGCTTCAGATGAATCGACGTTACTATATCTGAACATACACTACTACGCATCGGCATTGTTTACTCTATTTTGCTATCGGATGTGATCAACCCTTCGAAAACGATGATGATCGAACACAGCCGATGAAAATCCTCAGCTCTGATTGTTTAAGATTCACAAGCAAAGAGTGAAACTGCTTTTATTGGGGTGTTGCATATTGAACTTTTAGAGTCAGATATCAGAACAGTTCCGAAGACAGGGAGATTTCAGATGCATTTTATCGTTTGACTCAGATGGTTTATACATTGAGACTTTATTGATTGTCCAGAAAAAACCAGTATATACTGCAAAAAGAAATGATCTATTAGAATTTCTGGTAAAAACAAAAAAAAACCAAATGCCCTGGTACGACCGAGAGTGAGGAGAGTCCGCTTTTCCTCTCCAAATGCTCTCATATGGCCTCTGTCAGGGAAGTCCTACTCACTGCCTTCTCCAATCACGGGTGTTGTTTACGAAATTGAAAGGACGAAAAGCGAATGTCCGGTGCTTTACGCGGTTGGTGAACACGGAAAATTCACCTAGGGGAGTTGGAAAACCCTGATTCCAAACCAATGGTGTACATGGCCTAGCTCCAGTATCCTGAGGGAACAAGTGGAGTATGAACTAATCGTTGGTCACCGGCTACCATGGGGCTGCATCTCCTCACGATGCTCCACTGCCTTGTGGATCAGACATTCAGGTCAAAGGCTCCGGAGGTGGCTCCCTAAGAAAACCACCTGCTTCGGTTTGGGCACCTGGACAGTATCACAGCCCTCACACAAATCAAATAAGATTTGTGTGGCGCACATGTATCTGGTGCTTTTTTGTACCAATATTTATGTATTTAAATAAATAAATGAGATACTGGCTGGGTGCCCAAACTGAATAGCTGAAAAATCGCTCAAAGTTATCAACATAGTTAAGTTCTTAGTGAATTTCTCTACAAGTGATTATAACCTTATTCTATCAATATGACATTTGATTGCTTACTGTCTATAAATTGTGTTGTCAATTATTTTAACCTGATCAGGACAAGAAAGATGTATGATGAAAACAAATATGTAAACAGCAACAATACAATAATACACAATATCCAATCATATTTTATATAGACAGAATAGGCTTATAATGACTTGTAAAGAAATTCTAATAAGTCAGCTGTTTTTCAAAGTATATACTAATGATCTTGATTAAGAAGATAATTAGAAGCTCATTCATAAATCATTTACCCCAAGGTATACAACACTTCAAATATCTACTAACTAACTCATAAATCTTCTCCATAATGCTCTAAATCAGTATATGATCTAATGGCTTTCATTATGCTCAGATAGATTACTTCCATTACATGCACAAACACACACACGTCACGCCAGTACTTACCCAACTCCCAAGACCTGATATAAAAACTCCGAATACTTCCAACGTCTTACTATAAACGTTGAATACAAGCACCAGTTTATCAAGCCTAGAAAAAATATTTTGTATTTCGAAAGTCTAAAGTGTATACTGTACAACAGGCCACTAATTGTTAATTAGTGAAGTAAAATGGAGGTAACTAGAGTAACCAATACAGCATGATAATGTCAATCACATATTTGACGTATAAAATTCCTCACTGAACTCTTTTTTTCACCTAAACTAATCATCTTTTTTAATTTCATCTCGCTGTACAAATATGGTGTGGCAATTTGAGCTAATAAAAATGTTTGAAAGATCCTACATTGATTATAATTAATTACCAGTTCATATTTTACTTCATTTACTTTGTCTTTAGATCCTCACATTTTAAAAAAAACTTGATTCAAAATTTATTGAATAACCCCATTTACTTATGGTTATTGAGATACAAACATAAAGTCTCAACTCTATTCTACTGGATGAGATAATCTCTAATAACTTTTCTATAGAATTGTGATATGTCAACAAGCCAGTCAGTCAGTTACAACGTAGGACCAGGCACATATATGCATCGGTTCAAGTTGACATACCTCATTAGCACAGCAGGATGAACACCGAATTCGTAGAAGTAGTTAATTTAGTGGTGGTAATATATAAAAGGTAGGTTGTATATTAGAATATGGTTAGGGTGGCCAAACCAAAACGTCGCATCAGAGCTTGAAGTCACCAATTTCTAGTCTGAGCCATGTTGGCAGATGTACACTACTTGGTTCGGGTCCGTGTGACTATCGTAACCAATAGTTGGAGACTCTGTGTAACATGGCTCAGAATTGATCACAATGGCGTAGGTGTATACACTCTTTATCTCCCGTTAAACCTTGAAATTAAAATTGCTTCATTACTTTCTTCCTTCCTATACTATATCCTTATATACAACCTATCTTTTATATACTACCACCACTAAATTAACTACTTCTATGAATCCGGTGTTCACCCTGCTGTGCTAATGAGGTATGTCAACTTAGACCGACGCATACATGTGCTTGGTCCTACGTTGTAGCTGACTGACTGACTGTTCCACAAAGTAGAGGATACATGTAGATTGGAGTTTTTTAAATTATTCTTCGCATATGTTCACAAAATAACAACAGTAATAAACAATTGATAATAATAGCAATAACATTGCACAAGCAAGTGGCTGTCAGGACCCAGTGGCCGAGTGGATAACGCGATGGCGTTTGAAGCGAAAGGTACTGAGTTCGAGTCCCAGAGTGAACATCAACTCTGAAATGCAGGTACATCCAGCTGACGAGTCCCAAATAGGACGAAACGCGAGTCCTGGATTCAACTGCTAGCCACTATCCATCCACCTCTGCTTACCATGCTTGTGAATTTAGGCTATATCGAGGCAATACGCACAGTATGCACATATGCCAAATAGAGACTGACCAGTTACAGTCCTAAAAGCATCAATGAAAAGATTCAAAACAAACAATACTAAGTGAATAACAATGATACTTATGAACTTACACATAAATTACAAACATCACCTGATTTCAAACCACAATCAGCTAATGTTAAGTTGTTATGACTAGATTTTTGTTCAGCAACATCATCATCATTAGTGTTGATAGTAGTAGAAGCAACATTTGAATGTTTTGACAAAAGGGATTGAGTTTTAAATGACTGTTGTGGATAATGTTGATTCAATTCATTAACTAATGAGTTTAACACTTCATTCGATGGTATTTGTTCATTGACTAATAGACTTTTATTATTACGATTACGATTATGTTTTGATTGAATAGACCATAATTGACTTGTTATTGGTATACCAGTAATACGATATAAATCATTACATAGTTGTGATATATATGAATCACATGGTAAACATAAATCATGATAAGCATAAGGTGAACATGATCTACCAGTAGTTAGTTGATTACTTTTAGATTGATGAATATCATCATCGTCACGGTTTTTAGTGTTAGCATAAATACTACTACTACTACCAGTAGTCATAGTAGTAGTAGTAGTCGTTGATGCCGGTATTTCATTGTCATTTGTTTTATTTACACTAATATGAAATACAACTTGTCCACCATTTTGTTGATTTGAATAATTACTATTAAATTTTAAAAAATGCGTACAAATGATGAACGTTTGAAGAGGAGGAAAATAAAAGAAACAATCATCCAAAGTATGCGGATCCCAAGGTTATCGTTCTTTCAAAAGTTTAGTGAAAACAAAGCGGAAACTTCACCTTCATCGAATCAAGACGTGGAATCATCAATTGTTGATCTGATGCGTGTAGGTAAGCGAAAACTATGTGTTTAAAGTTATCAATGTTTGGAGAAGTTGGACGACATGAAATACAATCGGTAATCAATGATACAGATGCATTCACGTGTTGTCAGCCAGTCAGTCACAACGTAGAACTTCGTACGTACGTACGACCGTTGCCGCTACTTTGACGTAGTGGTCGGGCTTGCCTGTCGTGATGAACCAACCAAGCTATACTGGCTGGAACAATTGTTCTTCAAGGTCCTACCATGCCAGACAGGTCGGTTGAAGAGCGGTAAGACTAAAAGCAACAAACTAGGGTCCGAAGGCGAAGTCGTACTGCTGACTGTACAGAGGTGTGACGGCAGTAAGGTGTTTCCTCCAGACAACCAGCATAACAGCGATGCTGTCTTCCCACAAGGAAGGGTGTGGTTAGAAAAGGTCGACCCTAAAAATTCACACCTTACCTTATCCCACGGATATCCGTTTCCGGCGGTAAGGTCCCAACAAGTACGGAGCTAACACGTCAAAACTCCCCCACAAAAAGGCCGTGCGCGACCGGCCACAAGCAGCTGTCCTTTGGGCACTGCGGTCACCCTCCCAGGTCGTTAAGGCCAACACTAATCCAACTTCCTTTTCAGGTCCCTCAAGAAATACCATTCCACGGTGTGGGCAGCCGGGAAGTGATATTAGCCCTCATACCCGTGACTGCACACGAGACCGAGTTGGTCACATTCATTCACTTGTTGACTCCATTTAGTTTAGTTCTAAAAATAATCTCATACCCTTTTTTATTCTGAAAATTTATTCAGCCTTCTTGGATCATATTGCTATTGCTCAATTTTTCTACCAATAATATTACCACTATAGACACTCTTACTACTTCTACTACTTCGGCAACCGTCTTGTTAGTTTTATCATGATGTGTTGATATGGTCTGGCAATCTGAAGCGATGTACATATGTCCCAAGTTCCATGTTGCTTATGACTGACTGAATATAGTTTAGACCTGCAATAAAATGGTTGGGATTCAAGTGTTTTATGATTTTATGTTTGTAACAAACTGAACTGATCTACGATCGATCTTTCACAGTGTGTACATACGATATAAGAAGTGTAGGTGATCAGTTTATGACAGTGTCGTTGTATGAAAGAAAGTTGTATAGGACTGGCTTCTGTTGGTCCCTTACGACTACCTGGTTGGAGTAGTAGAGATGATGCGACACAGTGGCTAGAGACGTTATCAGATGTGGCTATGGTTAATGGAAGACGGGAGAACCGGGAGAGGAGCTGGCATACATTCAGATCACTACCAAATGGTTGTGGCCAAGATGAAACTGAAGCTAAAGAAACACTGGACAACTGGGGGAATAGCATTACATAGGTTCAATACAGCCTACCTTCGAGATACTAACAAACTCAATCAATTCAAGATAACCCTCAACAACAGATTCCAAGTTTTACAAGATACACTGAAAGAAGAAACTACGATGGAGGACAACTGGAAAGGGATGAAAGAAGCATTAACTTCAACGTGTTGGGAGGTACTGGGCTACAAAAAACATCATCATAATGAAAGGATCTCTATGGAAACCATGGATAAGACTCAAGGAAGGAAGAACAAGAAGATAACATTGAACAACGACCAGCCGAACAAGAGTGGAGAAAGTTAAGGCACAAGCTGAACACACAGAAACAAACAAGCAAGTGGGGAGGAGCATTAGAACCGACATGCAGAAATATATGAAACAGTTGGCAACGACAGAGGGAAAAGCTGTAAGAGAACAAAATATGAAACAATTATATGATACATCAAAGAAACTAGCAGGGAGATATAGTAAACCAGAGAGACCCGTCACGAACAAAGAAAGACAATCACGGAGATTCAAGAACAAAGAAACAGAAGGGTAGAATACTTCGAGGAACTGTTGAATAGACGAGCTCAATTGAACCCACCGGAAATAGAAGCAGACAAATCAAGAGCGGGAAAGCGACAGGGCCTGAAAATATACCAGCTGAAGCACTAAAGTCGGACATTGAAGTAACTGCAAACATGTTTCGCCTATTATTCAGGAAGATTTGGGTAGAGGAACAAGTGCCACCGACGGACTGAAAAGAAGTATATCTCATCAAGATACCAAAGGAGATCTGAGCAAATGTGAGAACTACACAGGCATCACACCACTGTCAGTACCAGGGAAATTTTTCAACAGTGTTGCTGAACCAGATGAAAGGCGCAGTAGACACCCAACTTTGAGATTGACATGCTGGATTCCGTAAGGATCGGATGTGCACAGACCGAATTGCGACACTATGGATCATAGTCGAACAGTCAGTTGAGTGGAATTCGTCACTATACATCAACTTCATTGACTATGAGAAGACGTTTGACAGTGTGGACAGGAGCACATTATGGGAACTTCTTCGACACTACGGAGTTCCTGAGAAAATTGTCAACATTATCCGGAACTCATACGACGGACTACAGTGCAAAGTGGTGCATGGAAGACAGTTCACAGATGCATTTTCAGTAAGGACCGGAGTCAGAAAAGCCTGTCTACTCTCCCTCTTCCTTTTTCTTCTGGTAGTTGACTGGATTATGAAGACCTTGACATCTGAGTGAAAGCACGGAATACAATGGACATCTCAGAATCAATTAGACAATTTGGACTTCTCAGATGACCTAACCCTCCTATCCCATACACACGAACAAATGTAGATGAAGGCAACTAGTGTAGCAGTAGCCTCTGCATCAGTAGGCCTCAACATACACAAAGGAAAAAGCAAGATCCTCAAATACAACACGGAGAACACCAACCCAGTCACACTTGATGGAGAAACTCTGGAAGATGTGGAAACGTTCAAGTACCTGAGAAGCATCATCAACGAACAAGGAGGATCGGATGCAGACGTAAAGGCGAGGATTGGCAAAGCAATCACAGTATTCCTACAATTGAAGAACATGTGGAACCCAAAACAACTGTCAATCAATATCAGAGTCACAATCTTCAATACGAACGTCAAGACAGTCAGTTCTACTGTATGGAGCTGAAAAGTGGAGAACTACTACAACCATCATCAAAAGCGTACAAGTATTTATACATAGTTATCTACGCAAGATACTCAACATTTATTGATCGGATACCATCAGCAACAGCCTTCTGTGAGAGGGGACAAACCAGCTTCTATTTGAAGATGAAATTAGGAAAAGACGTTGGAAGTGGATCGGGCATACATTGAGGAAATCATCAAATTGCATCACGAGGCAAGCCCTGACTTGGAATCGTGAAGGGAAGCAGAAAAGAGGAAGACCAGAGAACACATTACGTCGGGAAACAGAAGTAGATCTGAAAAGGATGAATAACAACTGGAAAGGATTGCCCGGGTCATTGTTGGATGGAGGGTGCTGGTGGGCAGCCTATGCTCCTCCACGAGAGGTAACAGGCGTAAGTAAGTAACTGTCTATCTGTTAGTCAAAAACTATAAAATTACGTTTACAGTCCAAGCAAATCATTGCATATGATTAACCAATGGGGGAATCGTGCATTACTGTTCGTATGTGCATTTATGTATGTGCGTAATTGTGAATAGTAATTATTAACTAATTGCAAAGAGAAAAAAGTACTTGTTTGCGGTTTACATGTATCTAACGCATGGCGAAACAAGGGAAAGAGTAAACGCATGTTGATTTATTTCAGGGATGAAAATGAAAAGTATGATGAAATAAACACTTACGAGTTAGGTAATAAATCCGGATTGAGTTTAGCTCGAAGTTTAATACATTTCGGCAGATGTAATGCACGAAGGAGTGTCTGGAATAAAATTACAATTAAAATGATAGACTAATTTTTTCTACCAGTTAGCTGGTAAAGTTTTAGTGAAAAATCATGCATGTAAATAACTGATAGTTAAGTTTCAAATATGGAACTGCAAAGATGAACAGTCTAAGTATTTCAGGGTAAAGAATTCAACGATAAAACTCAAACTCCATGATAATTCATGATACGTTACAAGCAACAAATAAAGCATTGAATGTAATTTGACACATTAGTAACCTGGGTCGCATACCTTCATGCTAATTCTGTAATTTTAAAAGCATAGAGGATATTGAATGTTCTATGTGGTTTCATCTTGACAGCAGCCGCTACCTACCTAAATATCGTGATAACCCAATCAACTTATACTGACTAATGCTTTCGTTTTTTAAGGTCCTATCATGCCATCCAGGTCAGTTGAAGAACGATAAGACTAAAAGCAACAACTTAAGGTCAAAAAGAGAAATTATATTGGTGACTGTACTGGAATATGAGGTTAATACGGTATTTCCCTTAGACAACCGAAATTGCAGAGATGCTGTTTTCCCATAACGAAAGGAAGGGTAAACAATGATCACCCCTAAAAATAGAAATCTTCATATTACCTCACGAGCCTTCATCACCGGCAGTAGTCTGAAAAACACATTTTAAAAAAACCCTTGAAAAAGCTTGGCGTAACTGACTTTAAGCAGCTATCGCCCGGACGTTTCGATCACACTTCCAAGTTTTCAAGACCACCACCTTACCCAAATTTCTAAAGTTTATTTAACCGGCAAACCATAAAGCTGAATAATATCTAAACTCAAGTATTTGAATGTCTTAAAACAAGATCCGTCAAGGCAGTGTATCAGCAAAAATAAAAAACCGGAACTATTTTGGTTTAAAACGATATAACATAACAATATGGTTGAGCCATGTTATCCATTTGCTTACATTTTTTATTCGATTACAATACTATGCAGATAAATACAACTAGACAATATATTGATATGAAAATAATTGTATATCTTACTGAGTTGTCAGCAAAAGAATGAGATCCAGAACTCTCCAAAACAAGATACTTTAAGAGGTTGGCTTTGCTACATTCAGTTATTTTTGATCCTAATTCTGGACTAGTTGCTAACTGTATGAGCTCAGTCAACCGACAGTCAATAAAATGTTGTTTCAAAAATCCAACTGTCTCCGTATCAGGGAAAGGAAAACTTTCTTTTACAACTTTTTGTTCATGATCTGTATCATCATTCATAGGCAATTCCAAATCTATTTCAAAATTCAGGATACGAACTGGTCTATTGGAATTAATAGTAGCTTGATCACTGTCCAGTTCAATAACTGATCGAGAAATCGCTGGAGATACATTACACCCTGAAACATCAGTATCAAAATCACACATAGTTGATACGGAAACGGTTTGAGTTCCTAAGTTATGATTCATTGACGATTCAGGTGACAGAATGGGTCCACCAAGCGGAGTCATAGGAAGAACTGTGGAGTATGGAGCAGATTGATCTTCTTGGACAAATGATGATCCTGCTAAAAAAAGAGTGCATTATTTACATCTAAAAGTATATTTTTTTATTTACATTGAATGTACAAAATCAAACTGAATCATTGATGAACGCCTACTAAATTATTCGTTTGCAACTGACCACTCGTTGAATATCTATTTGAAAAATAAAGTTTTTCCACTACTAGAATGAGTGGTAAAAATTCGAAATCAAGAAGTAATCCATAGAGTTACTCTTGAAACTGTCAATAGAATCAAGGAAATATTTGCTGACCTTAAAAAACACCATGTATTCACATGAATATTTTATTGTTGTAGATCAGTAATGTGAATAAAGGTTAAATAATCAAGACACCGTCTTGGTTTTAACTTACAACATAACAGAACATTGGTAGACCAGATCATATAATAATTGGTGCAAATGAGCTGAAAAAGATGATCTCGTATCTTATTTTCTGGTTTACATCATCCAGGTAAAATTCGGTGAACAGTAAGTAACAAAGCAAAATATTAAGAAGAAAATTTACATTAAATAATCAGTTACCATTAATTTGCCCCCAAATTTTCCTAGTATGTGACTCAGCATTTCGCATTCCCGACTGTGCACCTGGGAATCGAATCCAGGAACTTTGGTCTCGCACACGAGCGCTTAACCTCCAGACCACCGACTAAACTGGCATTCAGCAGTTTCGATATCTAATTTTAATTAATCCGCAATATTGTGTAGCCCCCACCCATTGACTAAGATAGATATCTGTCGTATACCCGACATGATTGAATGGTAATTGTTACGGCTCACTACAACTCCATTTGCATCTCAAAGTCAGTCACTAGTGAAAATATAATACCATAGATTCCAGGTTAGATTCCTGGATCAGCACTGTTCAGGAGTAATATACCAGGAAGAAACGACCATCTAGTGCTTCGAGGTTTTCAACTATCCTTTAACTTTGATTGGTTCATGATTCCAATCAAAACCAATAATCTCCATAAGTCCCGGGAAATATCCTAGCCGCTACACAAACCGAACGAAGTGAGGTGCATATACATTCCGTCCCTCCTTGTACTATACTTGTGTTTAAAAAGTTTTCATGAGCCTTAGTGAAACGTTAAAAAATTACTGGGGATAATATTATAAACATTATGTTAGCCAAACGGATTCCTCTAAAATTACTTTTAGCTCTCAGACATTAGCTAGTTAGTCTAAGAGCTGAGACTGAACCACTATTCTTGAAGATCTCAGTGGTAACTCAGAAGGGTTTGTTGCCTTCTCTCGTTCTAGATTATCCATGGTTTCTAATTCATTATGATGACACGGCTCCAAAGTGATTTCAGAAACATGTAATTTTTATCTCGACGTGACTGGTGTACACTTTATTATTCTGCATCTGTTTATGACGAATCGAATCGTTTGTTGTTTTTTTTTCAAGTAATAACATCACTGCTTTTACAACTCTAGGAAATAGATTACTTAAAACATTATGAGTTTGTCAATAATTTTGTATATATGTTTGATAGAGTTGAGTTGGATAGCGGAAGGACTTTCTACGGTAGAATTTCAGCTAATAAATTAGTGCTTTACCGACTGATTAAAATACAATTTTATACAAGCACTGGTTTCCAGTCACGAATAATTGCATCTAAATGTCGTGCGAATTAGACACATGAATACTGATACTTTGGCCTCGATATCTGTTTAAACAAATATAGCCAATAACTATAACAGTTTCATATGTTTTTCTCGGTAAATTAAACTTTATAAATTCGAGGGGATCAATGCTTTTCAAATCCCCTAGGTGAAGCCCTTTTCTACATCCATCAACAGAACTTATACACTGTTAGTTTGATAAACACCTTATTCACGCTACGTAGAAGCAGTGAAGAGGACTTCCCTAGGTGCATCAGAAATTTTTGGTGTGTTTACAACATTTGCTATTACCTGGCGACACGTCACTAATAATGCTGGAAACAGCGGCCATTAAGTCCCAGTTATGGTCCTCCAGTATTGATATTGCATATGTGATATCTGTTAATCCAGTACACGCCTATAGTAGTCAAGTAAAATTAGGGAGCACACGCTCAAAACTTCAATATCCAGCTTACCAGAAAATTCTCAAGCATCGTATCCCTGTCCATTGTAGACAGAATGAAGGCTGATGTGAAATTTAAGCAAACTAAGATGGACTGTGGTCAAATTATATTAATTCATCATGAGCAAATAATCCCAATTGAGAGATATCTATGGTGAAATTGTAAACATTTGAAGTCTTCAAGGTCACCGAATTTCAATACTTCAACAATTAAATTCAGTCTTCAGTAATAAGGATAGGAGGTCTAGTGACCTATTTTAATCCTTGCAGTTTGTTACACTGTGGAGGTTCAATCTCGTCTTGAATATATCAACAGAAGGTGCTGATATTACGTGTTCTGGTAGAGAATTCCAGTAATTCACTACTCGGTGCGAGAAACGAAACTCCTGACGGTTTGGACTTTCTTTGAATGTCCTCTCAAATGCTCAGCCCTAGACGGGAGGAAAAGATAGGACATGTTAGTACCAAGGTCATCGTTCAGGATACGATATGCCGATATTAGATCACCCCGTATTCGCCGGTAAGATAACGGAATGGTTCAAATTGTTTGTTACGGAACAGAAGCTTTCGCTTAATGAGCTTCCGTATCTAATGGCAGTGGATCACCCATGCCTCCAGGTAGGAGTTTAGGTATATTTAACAAACGAGAGAGAAATAACAGTAGGTTACAGTGACATACTGTCCTAAGTCCTTGATTCGTTAATCGCACTATAATGGAACTTGTGAAGTTGCTAACTGTGAACTCACTTTTGAAGGTTGTGCATTTATATTCAGTGTCATCTATCGTAGCCCAGTCTGCTCAGCCAGTGATTTTATGGACGTGATCTGGTACGCCTATTTGTAAACTGAGTCCGTTCCCTTTTGGAACTTTACATATCATTTCTTTACTTTTATTTTTATATATTGTTATATGTTTCGTATTTTTGGATATTTTTCGTACCTTCGTTCATCCATATACTTTGTATTCATCATGACCGAGTAGACCCCTAAGTTACTTAAGACGAAGACTCTTAGGCCACCTCCGTTCCAGCTAATGCCATTCTAGCTTGACAACATCGAGGCCTGGTTCCGTTATGCAGAAGCTGACTTCTACGGGCATGGTGCAACCGACACACATTCACCAATTCTCGCGGTGGTGAAGGCACTACCAAGCGAATTCAACAGGTACGTCACACTTAGTATGTTTACTAATGATGTTTTGGAACCTTACGAAACTCTAGAAAGGTCTACTCTTAAACGCGGAGACCTAACCGATCGACAAAGGTTAAGTCAACTCCTCAGTAACCTCCATCCAAAACATTACTCAGCAATGGACATGTTACAAATGAGAGGCCATTGGTCAAAAAACCTTCGACGATGGCCTGTTTGGACAACTTTACTTGTTTTAACTTCCTCAATAGGTGCAGGCAGTGCTTGTCTTACTTCAAAACAACGCTGTCGACCGAATTCTGGAAATGACCAGAACTTCTGACGCCGAGGTCTACTCGGCAGGCTTTAACGGCAACCGTAGCGTGAGAACATAGTCGTCCACCCATCCACTGGACCTTCTTTGTCACAGATGTTTCCATGCCAACCATTTGTATAGACCTGTTACAGCAACATAATTTGTACATCGACACGCGCAAACGGAGGTTAGTAGATAGGGACACCAATTTATCTGTTTGTATAACTTCTTTTTCCTGTTGTAGACTATCTCCAGTCACAGTAAAATATAAGATCGATCCATTCTACCAAAAAATACTCGATGAGTACCCTAATATATACCAGGCGCAACCGAAATTGCCGTGTGTAACTAGCAATGTTACACATCACAATTGATTGATCACTGGGTGGTGATCAATCTCATGCGTGTCAGGTCCTTCTTAGTGCTGATCGAATGCTATCGATCGAGTTGCAATGTGACCACCAGTCTAGGTGGCTCGACACTGCTTGCACTATGTATATTGAGGTAAGATGGTGGTTGGAGGTGGTCAACAAGAAACCCTGGACCCGGGTTTCGTGCTACTTGGCACTCGTCAGCAAGGTGTACCTGTAATCCTGAGGGAACTGATGCTCCCTGGCGGATTCGATCCCACCATCTTACCTAAATATACATAGTGCAAGCAGTGTCGAGCCACCTAGACTGGTGGTCACATTGCAACTCGATCGATAGCATTCGATCAGCACTAAGAAGGACCTGACACGCATGAGATTGATCACCACCCAGTGATCAATCAATTGTGATGTGTAACATTGCTAGTTACACACGGCAATTTCGGTTGCGCCTGGTATATATTAGGGTACTCATCGAGTATTTTTTGGTAGAATGGATCGATCTTATATTTTACTGTGACTGGAGATAGTCTACAACAGGAAAAAGAAGTTATACAAACAGATAAATTGGTGTCCCTATCTACTAACCTCCGTTTGTGCGTGTCGATGTACAAATTATGTTGCTGTAACAGGTCTATACAAATGGTTGGCATGGAAACATCTGTGACAAAGAAGGTCCAGTGGATGGGTGGACGACTATGTTCTCACGCTACGGTTGCCGTTAACGCCTGCCGAGTAGACCTCGGCGTCAGAAGTTCTGGTCATTTCCAGAATTCGGTCGACAGCGTTGTTTTGAAGTAAGACTCGTCAGCAAGGTGTACCTGTAATCCTGAGGGAACTGATGCTCCCTGGCGGATTCGATCCCGCGTCACTCAGCTTCACAGTCAGAGAGGTTACCACTGAGCTATTCGGGCCGCGACCAACCTCCTGTAGGACTGAGATGTAATCACAATTGATTGATCACTGGGTGGTGATCAATCTCATGCGTGTCAGGTCCTTCTTAGTGCTGATCGAATGCTATCGATCGAGTTGCAATGTGACCACCAGTCTAGGTGGCTCGACACTGCTTGCACTATGTATATTTAGGTAAGATGGTGGGATCGAATCCGCCAGGGAGCATCAGTTCCCTCAGGATTACAGGTACACCTTGCTGACGAGTGCCAAGTAGCACGAAACCCGGGTCCAGGGTTTCTTGTTGACCACCTCCAACCACCATCTTACCTCAATGTTACACATCACATCACGACTACAGGACCACCTGTATTCTCGAAAGCGCGCCAGCTAGCTCCCAAAAAGTTGGGGTTGGCTAAAAACGAATTCCAGCTTATGATAAACTTGGCCATCGAACAGCCTGTGGCACCTCCCTTCCAAATGGCTCCTAAAAAGGACGGTAGTAATTGGCGTCCGAGTGGTTATTATCGACGAATGAATGTGAAAACCATTTCTTATCGTTACCCGTTGCCTCACATTCACGATTTGACAGCTACCATGAAAGTCACAGCTGTGTTCTCAAGAATCGCTCTGGTTAGAGCATACGAACGAATTTCTGTGACTGCAGACGACATTCTTAAAATGGTTATCACCACTTCCTTCAGACTGTGCGAATTTGTGCAAATGTCTTTCGGTATAAGAAACGCAGTACATACATTTTAGAGATTCATCGATTTAGAGGTATCAACTTCCTACACCCAGATGTAGATGACTGATTGGTCGTAAGTCCAAATAGGGAATCTCACCTCCGACAGCTGGACCTTGTCTTCGATGGACCACAAAATCACGGCATTGCTGTAAACATTCAGATTTGCCAAATTGGAACCGGCACTCTAGATTTTATTGGACATCCTATCGATGCTCTAAATAACCTACCTCTAAAAAGCAAAGCTTTGGACATTCTAGATTACCCAGATACGATCAAAGTCACGCAATTACATACGTTAAACGGTCTGGCAAGCTCTTATCAATAGTTCATAAGGAATAGCGCGTCTCTAATGAGACCCATAACCAACAAACTTTGTGGTAATGCAAAAATCATCGATTTGGATGACAATACGAGAAGAGCATTCCTCAGGTTGAGGAAATTATCTCCAAAGCAACCATGCTGGAGAACCAGAACAACAGAGCACACATTAGTACCACAGTAAAGGTGTCCCACTCAGTTGTCCGAGGAGTCCTACAACAATGGGTTAACCACACATGGCAACCCTTCGTATTCTTCTCGAGACGGTTGGTAGACAATGCATCGAGGTACAGTACTTTCGGCAGGGAGCTCCAAGCTATGTATTGTGCCATACAGCACTTTCAACACTCTGTTGAATGCTGTGAATTCGCTTTTTTCATCTACCATAGACCTCTTACTTTATCTCTGAGCTCGTCTTCAACATGTACTAGACTACATTTCGCAAATTGCTTCAAATATGTGACACAATCCTGAGGCGAACAATGTAGTTGCAGACATCTTGACTCTTATGACGCCCTTTTACAATTTCCAAGGAATCTGCCTTCTCAAACTCGTCCACCTTCGAAAAAGTAGACAATGATCTTCAGTACGAATTATCCTCGACAACCCTGAAACCACTGATCAAACAGATGGGAAAAGGTAAGGAAACTTTACGTATCTACACGTGGGAATCGTCCAGTCTTGCAGAAACTATCTACGTGATGTCTTCAATACGTTGCACAAATCCTATCATCCAGGTGTTCGTGCAGCCATCAAGCTAATCTCAGAAAGATTTTGCTTTCCTGATATGAATAAAGACATCAGGGATCGGGCGAGCTCATGTGTAGGCAGCCATAAATCTGATGTGATTAGACAAAACGAATGTTCCTTAGGCTCATGCACGACTTCCGACGCTCATCTTCATTCGGTAAGATTCTTTCCAGATTCAAATGGACACTCTCACCTCTTAACGCCTGTGGACCGTTTCGTACGATGGCCAAAAGCAGTACCTACCAAGAACGTTGCCGCTTAAACAGTGTTCCGCTCCCCCCTCAAATGGTGAGTGGTAAACTTCGGCTGCCCTCCAACTGTCAGTACATTGAGATGAGGTCGTTCAGAATAAAGACGAAGGCTCCACGACCAAGCCATCCAGCTCACAGTACGTAATTCCATCAGCACTATCACTACATTTGCTTGAATATGCACTTTTACCGTTGTTATAATACAATACTAGGAATCACACGATTCCGAATGACCGCCTACTATCCACAAACTATTATGTCGTTAGGACGAGTTCA